TTGATCTGTTGACCTCGTGATCCACCCGCCTCAGTCTCCCAAAGTGCTGGGATTACAGGCGTGAGCCACCGCGCCCGGCAGATATATCTCTTGAGTCTCTAAACTATAAGTTCTCCTTCCATCTTTCCTTTTTTATTCCTTACAAAATATCTTTTGAATAAATTGGGTTGTTTATCTTAAATATTTTCCCACAGTCTACATTTTGCTAATTGTAGCCCTGTGGTGCTGTCATTCCATCTATTTTTTGAGATGGAGTCTCACTATATCCTCCAGGCTGGAGTGCGGTGGCACGATCTGGGCTCACTGCAACCTCTTCCTCCCGGGTTCAAGCAATTATCCTGCCTCAGCCTCCTAAGTAGCTGTACTACAGGCACATGCTACCATGCCCAGCTAATTTATGTATTTTTCATAAAGTTTCACCATGTTGGCCAGGCTGGTCTCGAACTCCTAGCCTCAAGCGATCTGCCTGTCTCTGCAACCCAAAGGGCTGAGATTACAGGTGTGAGCCACCTCACCAAGCCTGTATTATTTTTACTTTTTCTCAGCAACCAGATGCCCTGTATTAAATTGTTGCTGCCATTCCATTTTTACAGCACACAATAAAAAAGATTTGATCACACTTAATTTGCCTAAGTATTTGAAAAACAAAATTAATTCTGGGATAAGTTTTTGTAAGTTTATAAATATAAGAATGCAAGTCTAAAATCCACAGAAAAAAGATCTTTCTGCTTTGTTAAAATATCTGCTCAAAACAACAACAACAAAAAACTAAGCAGAAATAAATTAAGAACTGGGAAGGAATCTTGAAAATCAGTCTTCCCAGAGTCAATATTATTAACCACATCAGAAATAAGCGGTGCAGGGAAAAGTATGTGGCTCCTCAAGGCACTTGGGTCTCTTATGACTTAGAAGTCCTCTGAAGACATACATCAAGGTTTCCCAAAAATACGTCAACGAAAACCCACATAACTATTTTTGTTTTTTTTCCTGTTTGTTTGCTTTGAGATGGAGTCTTGCTCTGTCACCCAGGCTGGAGTGCAGTGGTGTGATCTCTGCTCACTGCAACCTCCACCTCCTGGGTTCAAGAGATTCTCCTGCCTTGGTCTCCAGGGAAGCTGGGACTACAGGCATGTGCCACCATGCCCAGCTAATTTTTGTATTTTTAGTAGAGACATGGTTTCACTAGTTGGCCAGGCTGGTCTCGAACTCCTGACCTCAGATGATCCAACCTCCTCAGCTTCCCAAAGTGCTAGAATTATAGGCATGAGTCACCGTGTCCAACGAAAGCCCACGTAACTATTTATCTTCACTCTAATTATCTCGCTTTAGGGTTACTGTTAAAAAATTTGAGGTTAGCATATAGGAAGGAAGTCCTCTTACTGGATCAATGCCAAAAGGGTATGGTCCACCAAACACTCCAGGGAGGGCTGGGTTCAGCTGTAGAACAGGATTCCCTCGAAGCGTCTCTTCCCTACCATAACAGGGAAAAAGTCACATTTATTTTTTAACAAGAGAAGGAAACAACAGAGGTCCAGAAATTGACCCCAAAATAAATTAGTATAGCTATCTTGTCTCTTCAATAAAATGGAAGGGGGAAAAATAAAGAGGAGAGACTAGCAGCTGAGATTGAGGGATCCAAAATGATAAAAAGAAAAACACACAAACACACAATCAAGTAGGGAACTGGAGAATCTACTTTTAGTGTCAAACAAACAAAAAAATCATTCCTAGTCTTAGTTCCTTGACACTTGCTGAACAAATCACAAAGCACCTCACAGTGCGGAGCATGAATGAGGAGACACTGTCACCACTTCCTAAAGAAGTGTCAGTTTACCACTTATCTTAAAAATCAGGGCTGAACATGAAAGGCATAAGCTTTGAATTTTAGCTTCTTCTGCAACTTACGTCCAATTATAAGTAAACATCGGCCGTACACTCCAGGATGACCCAAAGATATTAAGAGACTTGGAAAAGCAATCATTGTAGATGAGGCCAGTGTACATGGAGAACACACCCATCAACAGAATAATGTATCGACCACTGAACACAGTGCTAAACATCTGGGAACAGAAGAAAGTAATGAGAATGTACTCGCTGCAGCTCACATTGTGACATTATTCAGAATATGCCAGCCCCTTTCTCTGGCACTACTTTACCCCATCCTGGTTCAGACAGCTTGAGGTAAAGACCAAAATAAAATGCTAATGAGATAGTCACTTTCACAATACGTAGCCTCTTTTTTTTATTTTTATTAGATTGGTGCAAAAGTTATTGTGGTTTTGGCCACTAAAAGTGATGGCCAAAACCTCAATAACTTTTGCACCAACCTAAATAATTTTTATTTTTTTAGAGATAGGGTCTCACTATGTTGCCTAGGCTAGTCTCAAATTCCTGGGCTCAAGTGATTCTCCTGCCTCAGCCTCCAAGTTGCTGGGACTACAGGCACACACTACCACTTCTGGCTAGCACATGTCCTGTTTAGTGTTAAAATGAACATATCTTCTCTACTCCCTTTTGATAAATTCATGGATAAAAGACTTCCAGGTCATAATTTTCTTTTTCTTTTTTTTTTTTTTTTTGAGACAGAGTTTTGCTCTGTCGCCAGGCTGGAGTGCAGTGGTGCGATCTTGGCTCACTGCAACCTCCGCCTCCTGGTTCAATCAATTCTCCTGCCTCAGCCTCCCAAGTAGCTGGAACTACAGGCGTGCGCCACCATGTCCAGCTAATTTTTCTATTTTAGTAGAGTCGGGGTTTCACCATGTTGGCCAGGATGGTCTCGATCTCTTGGACCGTGTGATCCGCCCACCTTGGCCTCCCAAAGTGCTGGCATTACAGGCCTAAGCCAGCGTGCCAGGCCCAGATCATAATACTCACAATGAATGCTTGGGAAATTATAAAATTTCAGTTCAAGGCAGATGTAACCTAAACATTACCTCATTCTCATTCTTCTGGGAAAGGATCCGGCTCTCCCTCAATACCATCCACACAGCAAAAAGGGTCATTAAAATGCCATGACCAAAGTCTCCAAACATCACAGCAAATAGAAAAGGGAAAGTGATAATCGTATATGGAGCTATAAAGAAACCACAAAAAGAAAAATACAAAGTACATAAAACTACAGCAATTCCACAAATATCACATTCTTTTCCATACTCTTTCTTTCTTTCTTTTCTTTTTTTTAACAGAATCTCGCTCTGTTAGCCAGGCTGGAGGGCACTGGCACAATCTTGGATTACTGCAACCTCCACCTCCCAGGTTCAAGTGATTTTCCTGCCTCAGCCTCCTGAGTAGCTGGGATTACAGGTGCCCACCACCACGCCCAGCTAATTTTTGTATTTTTAGTAGAAATGGGGTTGCACCATGTTGGTCAGGCTGGTGTCGAACTGCTGACCTCATGACCTACCCGCCGTGGCCTCCCAAAATGCTGGGATTACAGGCCTGAGCCACCATAACTGGACTTCCATACTCTTTTTTTTTGAGACGAAGTCTTGCTCTGTCATCAGGCTGGAGGGCAGTGGCTCAATCTCAGCTCACTGTAACCTCCGTCTCCTGGGTTCAAGTGATTCTCCTGCCTCAGCTTCCTGAGTAGCTGGGACTATAGGCATGTGCCATCACTCCCAGCTAATTTTTGTATTTTTTACATGGTGAGACAGGGTCTTGATCTCTTGACCTCGTTATCTGTGTGCCTCAGCCTCCCAAAGTGCTGGGATTACAAGCGTGAGCCACTGCGCCCGGCCCCCATACTCTTAAGATCAACATAAGGTGACTTATTCCCTAGCTGCCAGACAGATAGGACTCTCAGAGAAAATCTTTCATGGCAGAATCAACACACCCTCACAAAGTGGCTAATGACATTTGTACTATTAATAACTTTTTTTTTTTTTGAGATGGGGTTTCACCATGTTGGCCAGGCTGGTTTCAAACTCCTGACCTCAGGTGATCCGCCCACCTTGGCCTCCCAAAGTGCTGGGATTACAGGTGTGAGCCAGCACACCCAGCCAATAACTTTTTTTAAAAAGAGAGATGGGGTCTTGCTCTGCCACCCAGGCTGGAGTACAGTGGTGCCATCGTAGCTCACTGCAGCCTGCAACCCCTAGACTCAAGTGGTCCTCCCATCTCAGCCTCCCAAATAGCTGGGACTACGGGTATTTGCCACCATGCCCAGTTAATTTTTTTTTTAAATTACTAATAACTTAAATAATTTTTTTTTAAACTGGAATCTCACAATTTTGCCCAAGCTATTCCTGAACTCCTGGCCTTGAGCAATCCTCCAGCCTCAGCCTCCTGAGTATCAGAGACCACAGGCATGAGCCACCGTGCCTGGCAGCTCTGATAACATTTAAACAAATAAGAACAGAGGAAATGAAGGTATAACCCTGGCAACACTGATTTGTTCTTTGATTTTCTTCTATCTCATGAGGGACTGCTCCCAGGACAGGCCAGCTGTCTTCTCTTTGTGCAGCAACCATGTCCCAGTGGTATAAAGCTAAATATTAGATAACGTACAGACGGAGAAAGCCCAGAGCAAAGCAGTATTGTGTACGGCTCCAGCTGAAAATGAATCCTCACACTCTTGATTTAATAATTAGCTCTCCAAATATAGGAGAAATCTGTATTGTGCCTAAAATGGCCAATACTTGCTACATTTTCTCTGTCTAATCTTGAAACAGGGAAGCAAAAAAAAAAAAAAAAGCCCTTTAAAAATATCAGACATCTTAGAAGAAACATTTTGCTTAAAGCAGCCTCTGCAAATGATTTGCTAGTGAAGTCCAGGTGGTTTTATGACTGTGAGAGCACATTTAAGGGTCCAGTCTGGGACAGGCACAATGGCTCACGCCTGTAATCGCAGCACTTTGGGAGGCCAAGGCGGGTGGATCACGATGTCAGAAGATCGAGACCATCCTGGCCAACATGGTGAAACTTCGTCTCTACTAAAATAAAAAAAAAATTAGCCAAGCATGGTGGTGCAGGCCTGTAGTCCCAGCTACTCAGGAGGCTGAGGCACGAGAATTGCTTGAACCCAGGAGACACAGGTTGCACTGAGCTGACATTGCGCCACTATACTCCAGCCTGGCAACAGACCAAGACTCCGTCTCAAAAACAAAACAAAAGAATCCAGTCTGATGAAATTTTTTTTTTTTTTTTT